GAAAATATCTAAATTAAATTAATAAAAATATTTTTATAATCTTTTTTTTTTTTACAGTATTATTACATTTGGATTACTTTTAACAGCATCTAACACGTTATCTTCTCTTCTACCTTTAATCGACGGGTACTTCTTATTCTTCCGCTATTTTTTTCGATACAACAGAACCCGTTTCTAATAATCTTTGAGAAAAATTCACAAAAGTTTGAGTATTAGGAGTTCGCCTTTCGGGATACCGATGCACATAAATTTGGAAAGATAAATTACTGTTACACTGCGCTTCTCCATAAATAATCAACGTATCATGGTACTAACAAATCAAAAACATTTTCGCGGTAACACTAAACAGGACTGTTCCAAAATATCTGTTTACTAAATTTGTAACTGTCTACGTTTAGATTTTCGTACTGTGCGTAGTTGACAGATTTCTTTTTGCGGTTGAATTTAGAAAAAAAATGTTATAAGACTTTTTTGCTCTACATGGTGCTTTTTTAACCATACCTTTACGGAACGCACTATTTTCGGGGACATCCTGTATAAAGCTTACAAATGTTCAATATTCATCACGGAAGTACATTATATGGATCAGAAAGTAATGTACTACTAAAAAAATCAACGTCTTGTAGAATTCAGTCTTACGATCGTATTTAGAAACTATAAAGGCTACTCCAATAAAAATCTTGGAAGCTATTTAGAAGATCTTTTAAATTTAAGTTGAAGTCTCCTATCGTATAAATATTTAATGGAAATTTCGTTCGGAAAACAAGGCACCTTTGTAAACATGTTTTGAAAACATAGTTTACATAAAGAAAACAGTCGAAAAGGACTTATAGTGGCACAATTCGCAGTAGCAAAGTAGTTGTCAGTACTAACTTCCATAGAAAATATATCCATAAAGGAACGTGGAAAAGACCAGGAACCAACGAAGCCAATGACATTGACCATGACTGAATCTCAAGAAGATGGGTAACATACATAACATATCAGAATGTATCGCACAGCGAACTTTGACTCGGATCATTATCTTGTGGGTGCAAAACTGCGGCAGTGACTCATGACCATGACAAAAGAGACAAATAATCGACTTAGAAAATGGAATGTTGAATTATTCAAGAAGTCTGACTCAAGAAGAAACAGAGAAATAAGATTGCCAAAATATTCTTCAAATAAAAATTAACGATACCATCGAAAAAAATACTGCAGAAAAAGAATGGAGACAGTCAAAAACAACCTGCCAATTCCAATAATGGAATCTGCAGAGAAGCCAAAAAAAAAAAAAATACGGAATGGTATGGTGATGAAAAACAGCAGTAGTGAAAAAAGGCAAGTTAGACTTAAACAACATTCGAAAGAAAAGAGAGGATTAAAAACGCAAGTACAATAATTCTAGTACATGATACGAAAGCAAAAAACTAAGAGATTAGTTTAACTATATAGTTAAACTAATAGGGAAACAAAAAATTATAAATAGATTAAAGAGAATAGATGGATAGATAGATTTAATGAGGTGTCATTTATCCTATTCCACTGCGACCTTTTCAGATATTTTGTAGTCCACTAATACTAGATTACATTTTCTAGCCTGGCTAATAGCTTCATGAATTAATCTTCCATGTAGCTCGTTGCGGCTGGTTTTTTTCGTCTAATGTAAAGAACCGCACATAACAAAATGAGACAATATATTACACTGCAAAGCAACACATTGATAATCCCAATTATGAAGAATTGGTTCATATAATAAAGAACTTAAAAAATAATAATGTGCCAGGCACGGATGAAATTTCGGCAGAATTATAAAAAAGCAGAGGTTCTGAATTGTGGGACGATTTATTAGCTAATAACAGAATCCATTATCTAATATGGACAAAGGAGTAAATGTTAGAGGAATGAGTAGTTGGCCTTATACAGTTAATATATAAAAAAGAAGATAAATAAGACGGAATGTCAAAATGATAGGCCAATCACATTACTAAATGTAGTATACAAAATTCTTTTTGGTATTACCTATAATAAATTAGATCATTAGAATATTTACAAAATATAATCGGTGATTATCAAAATGGATTCAGACCAAATAGAGCTACCACAGACAATATGTTTATACTAAGAATGTAGCATTTTCAATTTCATTGATTCTTTGAAGTATATTGAAGTCCCCTCGTATACGAAATATTAAAATCACCTTATATATTTTTGATAGATCTAAAAATATTTCGTACGTATTTAAACCCAAATATCTTTTCATTTCTTTCTTAGGTCGGCCAAGTTGAAATAAACCATTTTAGAGTTGTTTATTTATTTTAACTTCCTCGGCAAATTCTTGTTTTATTAGAAGCCGCAATTTTAATGCGTCGCAAAAGGATATGTACGTCGTTTCGTGGTGTCTTGTTATGTCAGCGTTTGTATGTATGCGTTCAATTTTAATAGAATTTCTTCACTATCGTTGGAGCCGCGGTGAAAAGCGGTCAACGTTATGTCCGAATTTGACTTCAAATTCGAAATGTTCCTCGTTGTTTGTGTTTTTTTATGAAGACGTTTGTTCGTCTTTTTTTATGAAGAAAATGTGTAGCAGTGTGAAGTTAATGGTTCAGTAAATGTTTGAGTGAGGAATGGAAGAATCGTCGATTCCATCCTCGTTTTGTTTCTCCCTGGTTATCATCCAAGGCTTTTGGCAGTATGGAGATAGATTTGTTCGAGATATGAAGATATGGAGATAGATAGTTGTGTTCATTGCACAGAGAGTAAAGCACTCAGTTCCAGTTATGGTTTCGGATATTCCAGTGGCGTCTGATTCCACAAATTCTAGTGTATTTTGTTAGTGAAAATCCAGGTAACTTTTTGATCAAATTTTAAAGTAAAGACAGATAATTTGTTTTAAATTAAATAATTGCTTTCGTTGACATTTAAAATTGTAAATTTTAGATTTTGAGTTGAGCTGTCAATTTGTGTGTTTAGTTTTTTTTTTGAAATTTAATGTTAACTTATGACAGCTCGTTTTTTATTATTTTTTTGGTTATTAGTTTGTTTTATTTTTAAACAAGGTTAACCTCCATATAAATTTTTTAAGATTATGTAGTATCTCCAACTCCTGGAGTTTTTAAGCGGATGACACGTAAGTTTTTGTATTTTGTATGTCTCCATTTTGTAACTGTTTGTGGTGACACATAAATAAAGGTTAAATTTTGTTGTCTTAACTTTTTATTTATTTTTTTGAGCCAAACCTTTTTTTATTCTTATTTGAAAAAGATATGTTATTTATGTTTTGATTTGTTTTCTAATTATTTCCCTAGTTACAACCAGTGGTTGCAATAGGTATAATTAGGCACCTCAAGTGGCGCCCTATATTAAATTCCTTGAGGTGTTTCTTGTTTATTTTTATTTTGTTTATCCCAAGAGCCCTTTATTTCATTTTTTTGTAGTTGCCCCATTCACCCCTCTTATCTTTTACTTATCCACGACCCCAGCTCTCCTACCAAACCCTGAGTGCCGTTCGCACAAGTAGCGTTTATTTTGCTTGCCTTATCTTCACCACCAATAGTTTCTTCCCCCAATTTTCTATCCCTTGTATTAATGCCCCCTGTGGTAGGCAAAATATTATCGTTACAAGAATTCAAGAAAAAGCTTATGAATACGACATACACTATATAATACATCTCTTTCTTCAACCCTCACGTCAAAATAGTTGGAAGATTTTCGAAATCTGGATATACTTAATACATATATAAAATTGATAAAAATGTCATTGTCGTGGCCAAAATATTTGACATAGACGTGGGAGTGAGACAGGAGACGCCTATCAATCATGCTGTTCAACCTAGATCTTGAGGCTGTCATTAAAAAAACCAATGTAACTTAACTTTGTCAGATAAATATAAAATCGGTACAAATATCATCATATGTAGATGATGTTGTTATCATTAACAAGAGGCCTTATTCTCTCTCCTTTTCTCTCTCTCTCTCTCTCTCTCTCACACACACACACTGACTTTGTCAAAATGTCTTTGTGCCCACTCCTTAATGCAGGTTTGCAACAATTACTTTCATCTTTCGCTGCAGCTAATTTCAGAAAAGTAACATACCATTTTTATTGTGAATGGCTTAAACGGTATCGGTACAATAGAAACATATCGGTAAAATAGACACAATAGACCAGGAAGTCCAACATTTGTTGAAGTTACAAAGCGTCTTTCCTGTCCCCAAATTACATCGTAAAAACACAACATCGAGAAGACAGTAGAAAAGTGGTAATTGTAGATGACACAAGTAATCGTAGTGTCTGACTTATCTATCGTAAAGAACTTTCTACATTCTAAAAATTTCTCTAAACATCTCTCTAAAGAAAATCTCTCTAAACATCTCGATAGGTTTGAATTGTAAGTGGTTTCTCGTAAAATTAATGAAAGCTGCAAGGAAAGTAATGCCCAGCATGGGTAAGGGCATTTGTCTTATCAGCTTATATATTATTTCTCGGTAAAAGCTTGAAGAGAGAAAAGATAAGATTTTCTTAGTGCGCGGAACATTATTAAAGATACGATTTCGTAGCTTCAGTTTCCGGATATTTACATTACTTTTAGTATTAGTAGTATTTTCCATTATTATTTTATTTTCATATAGAAGCAGTCTCGCTGGTACCTTACGTACACAGCTAATTACCCTTATCTCAGTGAACCAGCAACTTATAGAACCTAAGAATATTTAATAATTTCACATACGTGGAGTCTGACTACACACTCCCAACTCTCCCCACTACTCTTATGTCGTTTAAGCGTCTCTTTTGAAGTCTCTCTGTCTTCTCTTAGTCTCTCTTTGTCTCCACTCTGGACTTCACCATGTCTATCTGATATGGCCATGTGGCCCGTTGGCCCCATGTGAGCGGCCCATTCCCATTCGTTATGAGCTTATTTTTAGATTTCATAAAGCAATAATAAGTTCTCGACAGTTAGAAAAATAGGCTTTGTTTTTTAATTAACGAAATTAAACATTATTAAAAGAGTACTTACTTCATTTGTTTAACTATCGTACTCTTCCCCGACTCTCCGGCACCTGAAAAAAAAATCAAACTTTAGACAAAGTTCTAGTTTGTAACAATAACATTTGATTTGTATCTAGTACATCATAAGCTGGGAAAATTCCCCTGGTACTTTTAAAAATATAAAAACATCTATCGTTTAGGTAACAAAAAGTCATGTTATGTATATAGCATTAATTACTAATACAGAGTTAAAAATACCCATAATTGTTTTTGTATGTTATAGAATTGAAAGAGATATTACTTTTTATTCCATACAAATTGGCTCTATTTCAGTAATCAATAAGCTCGTTGTTTAACCAGCCATCCAAGATATATTTGTGATATTTTTAGACAATATACGCTTTTTCCTCGGTCGTCCGAGGGATAGTAGATAGAGAATCTATCATCGATTTCTTCTCTAGAAAATTTCTTGTCTTCTATGTCGGCATATTTATATCCATAACTCATCTCGAGATTCTTTTGAAGTTACTGAATTCCTTTTTGTCCTTTATCTTCTACTTCCTTCTTTTTTGTAAAGGTGTAATTGCCCTTTTATGCTTTGTAATATTCCTTGCTTTCAAATAGTGTTTAACAATCATTTTCTTGGCCGTAGTATTGTAAAACTGGTGCAGCATTCTATGAAGGCTTATAATTAATCTTCATTATCTGCTATAATTAATCATCGGCATAACCATCAGACTTTTACAAATGCAGTTGGTTCTATTTTTTTCATCTATCGTAGCAATTGCTTTGTTTCCCTTGATTTCTAATGTTTTCATCATGTATACTTGTATGCTTCAGTCATAAGTATTACATTTCTTGTATTTGTACACGGTCAAACGCATTTGTTAAATCTTTTAGGCGCATAAATGCTGGTTTATTATATTCCAAAGATTTTTCGTTTATTTACCTTACTATCTTAAAACATTATTGCTCTTCTCCATCCGTGTGGAATCCCATTTTGTTTAGTGGCTTTCTGTATTTTTTGTAATTGTTTAAGAACAATATTTCCTCCATATTTGAGTAGCTCATCCTCTATTTGGTCATTATTTTTTTGTTTTTAAACTGCCTCTTTAATGTCTGGTTTTGCTCTTATGTTAATATCTACTTTTTCATCTGTTGTTTATGTTGGGTTCTTCTAGTAAGACCATTATAACATTTTCATATTTGTTCCTGTTGGCCATAGAAGTTCAACTTCAATCTTGTTGTAAACATTTCTTAGTGTTCTGTCTTTGGTTTGGTTCCTAATTTGTCTGTTTGGATTCTTGTTATCTTGTTTTCCTCCTAAGCTTCTATGGTTCCTAAGGACGTGTGCTTTAGAAATGTGTTTTCTTTGTCTGGCATTTTTGTGTTAACAATCTTAGAGATACAAGTAGTTTTTGACTAATGTTTGACATTTCTGGTTATTTTTTTAGTTTCTAATGCTTCGGGAGCGCCTTCTACTATATTTAGTATTCTCATTTCTATATAGTCCACCTTGTATTTATATCGTCTTCATCTGAAGAATAGTTCAATATAATCTCATCTTCCAGCCTATCTAGTATCTTTATAGATTCTTTCTGTAGATTCTATATTTTTACTTTAACTTCTGTCTTTCTTTGCGGGGTTCTAGTCGTATCTGTGATAATATAATCAAAGTGCATTTTGCTAAGTATTAAGCAATAAACACTTCCCACATCCACTGTGTTGGTGACAATAATATGATCTATTATCGATTTTTGTCCTCTTCTATTCTCACATGTGTACTAATATTGTATTTAATATAACGCAACTGGAGCAGTAACAATGTTGTAAGAAAATTTTAACTGTTATGGTAAAATTCCTCTAATAATACCAATCTAAAAGCGGTTTGTTTCGTAAACCAGCTTTAACAGTGTAACTAGTTTAAGCACATTTTTCGATTTCTTTTAAATTTCTTAACATTGTTTTTTAAATGGTAGAGCTATAAGCATTGTACGCTGACATAAATTCGGATCATAATCCTGTTTTTGCAAAAGTGCGCGCAAGATGGAAACTAATAAAGAAACAAAAATCTCAAGACAAACTAGACAGCCAATTATTGAAAAACAGACAGTACACACAAAATTAAACAAAAGTTTAGGAAATCTTGATTGCCATAGAATTACCGAGTCCAATTACGTAAACGTCCTGTTGAAAACTATTAAAGAGGAAATATTATTCAGAACAATATTAAAGAGAAAATGGACAGCGTAATAGAAAACCACCTAAATCAACACCCAGAAAGAACAAACAGGAATGGATAGTAGAAGATATTTTACAATTAATGGGCAAAAGAAGAGAAAGACAAAAAAATCCAAATACAATTCGAAAACAAGACTGAGGCAAAGGAAAAATGATTGAAAACAAAATGTGTCGAAATTAAACAACTGCAATAAAGGCGCGAACTTTTTAATTTACATAAAATGGTAAAAAATTTACATTGAATAACAAGAGAATAACCTTACACACCATGCTGAACACGGATGGCAAATTGCTTGCGAAGACAAATCTGAAAGAATGGGAAAACTATATCACAATACTTTTTAACGGCATACGAGAAAAATACGAAGATTAAACAACAATAACGAATTACCAAAAATTCTGAAAACCAAAATTACAAATGCCATTAATCAACTCAAAACAAATAAGAACCCATATCTAAATGGAATATAAACAAAAATATTAACGAACGAAGCCTTCGTGTTTCGAAGCGAAGAAAACATCGAAATATTTGTTATTTTATTCAATCGCATTTATGATACAGTAAAAATACTCCAAGACTGGCTAGAATCAATATTCATCCCACTACCGCAAAAGCCCAACACACAATACTGCAACTAGTTCTGCCTGATAAACTTTATTAGTCGTACAATAAAAGTTTTGTTAAAAATCGTACATAATCGAATCTATAAACACTGCAAAACAATCATCGGAGACGATCAATTTGGAACGGTATGGGAACCTACTAGAACATTTGCAAGAAATCCGTTTAGATGGGAAGGATATTAAACGGCTAAAACACTTATACTGGAACCAAAACGCCAGAATTAAGATCGAAAGTTCCACGTCCGCAGAAGTAGAAATTAGGAGAGTAGTTCGACAGGGATGGATTTTGTCACCCCTGACATTTAATCTTTATTCCGGGTTTCTATTTAAAGAGGCACTGGAGAAGTGGTTTTTTATATGTTGGTATCAAGTATAAGGTTTTGTTTATACATGAATAGAATAATAGAACAGTAATCTATTTATAATTTTTTAATCATTCAATTTATTACAATAACCGCGAGCTTTCGGTTATTATTAGATCTTCATATAAAGTTAGTCTTTTACGCAGCACCAAAAATCATCTAGAGCAAAATATGTTGAATATGTTCAAAGAAACAATATTGAAGGTATTACAGTCGATGGAATATAAAAAGAAATATAATAAACACACCTTAATTAAGGCCTTATTCCATGGTGTAGGACATCTTCACGATTTCTTTTCAGAAAAGCTGTTTGTCTCTCGGGGGAACCTGTAACCCTAGAGAGCGCGTCCCCAGGTGGCGGATAGGGGAATGCCCTCACCGGCCTGATTGGAGCTAGGCCGGCGGGTAGGTGGGAAATAAAATACCACCCGCGGACCAACAGGTGGGGTAGATAGGACTCCTAAGCCGTAGAGAAGGCAACTTATCTAAGAGAAGGATACTCTGATTTAAAACCCTGGTCCTCCAAGTTGGGGGTTGAGGCATCGGGCCAACTCCTCGATACTCGGAAAAAATGATCAAAGTTAAAAATTTCAGCAAAAAGCCTTGGAATTCGGACGGATTAAACTATAAACGAAATTCGCAAAGAAAATGGATTATGAATTTGGGTGCTTGGAACATACAAGGAATAAGGACAACACAGGAGGAGGTCTTCCGTGAACTGAGTAAAATGAAACTAGACATCTGTGTATTAACTGAAGTAAAGAAAAAAGGAAGAGGAAATGAAAAGATAAACGAATACCTGCATTTCTATAGTGGCGTAGAAAAGAGCGAACGAGCTAAAAGAGGAGTGTCTATAGCAATACATCAGAAACTGAAAAAATATATTAAATCATGGCAAGAAATAGATGAAAGAATTATCCTCATGGAAATTAAGAAAAATGGCCATGAAATAATGGTAATTGGAACATATGCACCGACGGATGACTCAAGGGTTGACAGCAAGGAAGAGTACTTTAACAAGTTAACAACAACTGTTCTAGCCACAATTAATAAGAAGAAAGAAATTTGGATCTTAGGTAAACTTAATGCAAGAACCGGAAAGAGCTCCAACAGTGAAATAATAGGGAGATTATGGAGAAGACATTCTGAACGACAATGGTCAAAGATTAATAGATTTCTGCGAGGCACATTCTTTGAAAATATTAAATGGTTTCTTCCCCCATAAGAATATACATAAATTTACATGGACGCAGCCTACCAGGAATTTAAAATCAATAATTGACTATTTCATTCATCGTAAAGATTCTAAACTAAAAACGAAGGACGTGAAGGTATTTAGAGGGCCAGAATATGGAAGTGACCACCATATGATTATTGCAAAAGTAATGGTGACATTTAAGAGAGAACAATCAAGTCACAAAAATGATGAAGTAACAGACATAGGAACAACCATAAAAAACATAAAATATAACCTGGAAAGCTTTAAACAAGATTCGACAAAGTTCTTATATAAAATTAGAATAGCTCAGAAAATAAAAAATATAGAAACAAAGGACTTAGACCCCGAAAGTCTGTATGAGGTAATTAAAAAATATATTCATGAAGCGGCAAATGAAGCACTGGGAAAAGTTGAAAATCGGAAAAAAGGAAAACCTGAATGGTTGTCAACGGAACTAGAAGAGACAGTTCTCAAGAAAAAACAAGCATATGACATATGGCTTCAATCCAAAGATCCTCAAGACAGAGAAATATACGCTAAATGGAATAGAGAAGTTAAAAAAGACGTGGATAAGGCGAAAAATATAAACTGGGAGGCTAAGTGTGATGAACTGGACAGATTTATGGATGGA